TGGGCAAGTGGGCAGACTGGCCAGGTCCAGTCAGCGGTACCCAGTCCCATCGCACTTTCTCCAGTCAGCAAGTACCATGTGGGACTGTGTGCATCCTAGGCCCGATGGAAAGGAGCAGACCAGCGACCAACTGAAGTAAAAATCAAGAGGCAGAGTCCAGTTATTGATTCATTCAGACTGTGAGCCGTGCGGAAGCGCTGCCTGAGCGACTTGTGTAAGGAGGTCTGCAGGTGCCAGAGGAAGAAGTGGGCTGAGAGGAAGACGAAGCGGCCATAGCCGCTAGTTAGTGGTAGAGTTAGCCACCAGCCATAGCTGCACTACGTTAGAGATAGGCTACAGTGTGTTTGTGTATGAGTGTGCAGTGAGTTGTGTGCGTGTGTGGGACATCCAGGGAGATCCAGAGTAGCGTGCGTGTCAACAGTTGCTGAGGGTACAGCGTGGAAGGGTGTTGTGAGGGCGCGCATGCGCCATAGCCATTCGAAGCAAGTTGAATATGAACTGTGTTCTTGGCCACGATATCTCTGAGCTTTGTGTGGGCGCTCGTCGCCAGTGTGATTGCCATCTGTTTTTCATGCATGCGGAGTAAGAAAGAAGATGAGTCTGATTGCAGATGGCAGTTCCTCCCCTACTGAATCCTCTTCAAGCCACTATGGCCCAGACATCGAAACAATTGCTACCATGGTTGTGAAGCAGTTGCAGAAGCATCCACCTGACTCGTAGAAGAGTGGGTCGAAGTGGGCATGAAAGAAGAAGGCTCTAAAGAAGATAGCCAGGTGAGGCTTCCCTCGTGAGGTTTACTTAGCCCCTGATGAGGACCGTCTGGTGAACGGCTGAAACATGCAGGGCTACCATCGCCATATACTGGTGTGCGTTCCTTGCTGGAACGTCAGGTGTTTTCATAAGCATGTATATCCCGAAACCGGATCATGATCAGGGTGACTGAATTCTTCCACGGAGTGAAGTGTGCAATTGGTGACGCAACAACTTCTGGTCTTGTCGCTGTCTCTTCCACCTCTATTGTCTCTCACCTCTTCCCCCTCCCCTGCTCCTCCCTATGCTCCCTGAATCTCGTCACCTCATGATCCATCTTGCATTTCAACGAAACATGCGTTGTATTCGACCCTGTTGTTGTCAATCATTGTCCATCATGTTGCGGGGTCTTAAGCTGCTTGAAAGTGATTTAACGCATAGTGTTGATAGTTTTGTGATGTTTCCAGAAAAAAAGCAAAGCAAAATGCGGAGGTCTTTCTTCTTCGTTGAGAAAACGCAAACTCTTGGGCAGTGTTAATATGCGACGTAAATCAGATTGGTCGGAAACCTGTTCGGTAAAGCAAAGCAAGAAAGCACAAAAATGCTTCGGGAGCCTGTTTGGAAAAGCAAAGCAAAAAAACACAATGCAATGAACCTCGCAAAAACCAACTCAAAATACAACATGCAATTTGAGAGCATTTAGATAGAGCCCACACAAGCTTGAGCTATGGCCATGAGCAGTGCCCATTCCAAGTTCCACTCAAAAACAATAATATACAAATTAATACAATTGAAAAAGTTCGGGACTTAGCGGCTGAACCGCTGCAACTTGAATCCGGTAAGTGTGTCCGACTCTCCCCCTCTCCGATCTGCTTCTTTCCTCTCTCTCTCTCTCTCTCTCTCTCTCTCTCTCTCTCTCTCTCTCTCTCTCTCTCTCT